AGGTGTGGTGGTGGTGGTTGATATTGATATTGTTCGGTCAGCAGTAGAGTGTATTAGTCATTGCACCACCCAGGAATGATCTCCTGGAATAGATCTGAAAAAGAAAAATGATGTCCTCTAGGAATCTGAGGCAAATAGGGTTTGGGCTTATTTCTAATAATCCCTCTTATGTTTTCCCACCCTCATCTCAGGAACCATTTATTTTTGCCTTCCTCCTTGAGTGGATCTAGCCTTCATTTAGATTTTATTTTATTTTATTTTCTAGCTGTGCATGAAATAAACTTGGAATGTTCATGTGCTCAGTACCAGCCTTATCTCTAGTAGGATGTGAAATTCTTGAGAGAAGATGGTATGTAGGCTCAATGAAGATGCTTTCTAGACAAGGGTCTTTGTAACCCGTGTGACCTCACGAGCGTGCTAAGGTCCTTAGTAAGTGGTTTCAGTTGCTATCCAAAGAAAAACTGAAATTCTGAAATTCTTAATTATATGTGAAATTTTGAAAGTTTCTTTTGAGAAATAGTTACTAAAAAATCCTTTGGTGATTTTAGACTTTATATGGATTTCTTTTTCTGTATTAATAAATTATTGATTCGTGTAAAAATTGTTGAAGAGTTGCAATTTTCTTGTGAGAGTAAAAAAGTGAGTCATAAAAAAAGGCTTTATCTTTCATCTTAAAGGTTAAACTTTCAAGGGTTAGCTTTACAAGAAGAAAAAGAAGAAGGAGGAAAAAAAGAACCCACAGTTGAGAAATTGAGTTGAGTGCGGATATTCTTTACAGGAAATCCCTGTAAAGGAAGCAGGCTTACTTAGCGTTTCAACTAAACGTAACCACAAACCTCATCTAATTGAGTAGATTGGTCAGAGAGGAATTGTAGAAGCTCCATCTTCAATGCATTTCCTCTTCTGATAGATGTAATCCGTTTGATTTTCCTCCGTCTGACCATGCCTTTGAAGATGTCCCCGGTCACCGACAAAAGACCCAATGTTTTTCCTTTTCACTTCAGGTATGTGTCACCATTTTCAAATCTGTGTGCACGGAGTGGGTGTGGTGTCTTTTCCAGCTGCCTCTGTGATTAGGAAGAGTTGCAGTCGAACTCTCTGGAAACGAGCATCCTCTCCTGCCCTTCAGATACAGACGCCCACAGTCACTGCAATCAGGACAGTACATTTGTTCCTCTTTTTTCATGTCTTAACAACAGGAAATAAAGGTAAGGCAATAGTACATTATTTCAGTAGATTTCCTAACCACAACATTTAAGTTGAGAAAAGAGTTTGAATGTATTTTTAAAAGAATTGCCAACACAATTTATTTTCACAGAATGTCTTAGAATAACAAAGTGATCTATCAAAAGTATTACTCATGTAGACAAACAAGTAGAGTCTTCTTTTGCATTTGGATCTGTAATTGTAGAATAAAACGATTGATAATGCCTTGAGTATTTTGTGGGAAAATGTACTCACAACTAAGGGATTTGAGATATTTGTTAATTAGAGTGGTCGCTTAACTTGACCATAAAGATTTGAAGGCAGGAAGTGAATGCTTTATTTTCTGTTATTTGTAAGCCATGTGATATAGCTCTATCTTGGGCCATGGCAGAATCAGAGTATGATTAGTTTAATTCAATACTGTTTAATTTTTAAAATAAAATGAATTATTAAGTACTGCTTATTTTCTAAATTAAACAAATCAAATAATGATTTTATCAATTCATAGATTCATAGGTACAAATGTTGTCTCTGGATCACCAAGTCTGATCCCAAGGGAAAGTATAAAGTAGTTTAGATTTATCTTGACAGTGTGATTCCCCTTCCTAAGCCTCAGTCCCTTTTATACGCTTGTCCTCCAGAATTTTTCTCTTTCTTGTCTCCAGTCAAATGCTTGAGTTAGTTTATTGCTTTTCCCAGGGTAATTGAAAGTTACGTCTTGACTCAGTGAAAGGAGACTCCATCCTTTTTGTAAAGAAATTACAGCTTTCAAAAAGTAAGTCTGCAGAATATTTGGGGGAAGAGACAGGTCAGCTTCTGGAAGTCATCCCTTGAGGCTTCTGTTACCCCCTTCCGTGAGAGAGCTTGTGTTGTGGAGAGGAAATCAGAGACTTTAAGCTCCTATACATTTTGATATGAATTCATTTTAGACTACTTACCGGCTCTGTGCTATGTATTAATATAGCAGGGGCTGCTATTCCCAGTATTGTGAGCTTCAGTTCTCTCATTTACAAAACAAGAAGGATAGCACTCACTTCCCCAAAGTAACTGGAAAATAAATGAAATGGCAGGGTTCCATCTGTTCTGTACTGCTTGTCCACCATTGTATCCCCATGACGAGACGCTTCAGCCTGGTTGAATGTAAAAGTTGTCCAATGCTTGATAAATAATACATTTTGCCATCGAAGTGATGTCGTAGGTCTCGTGAAAGTGTTTTGGTAGCACTAGAATGAAAGGAATCGCATACATTTTAGATGGTCCTGAAGGTAGATATTTACAAACAAGCCATATAGTGTGTTATCCCACATTAATGCAGTGTCTAGAATGGGCTTGTGCTTGCGTGGTTTAGTTACTTACATGCTGGCCATCTATAATATAGTTCAGTACTGACTCACCACCCAGCCTCTGAGCAAGGCTTCCCAAGGATAAAGAACGGCTTTGTTTTGCATCTTAAAGGTCAGACTTTCAAGTGTAACCTGAGTCATAAGGAATGTCCCACCGCTGGCATATAGTATGGTTTTCATTGTTATTTTTCCTTGAGATTCTGATTCAACAAATCTTTGGTGAGCTCAGAAAATTTACATTTGTAAAGTGGTTTAGGTGATTGATAAGGTTGAGGAGTGGTGGCACAGTGGTTTCAGCATTGGGCAGGCTTTTCTTTTCCTTTTCTATATTAATATATACTTGGTCTATTAAGATATTTTCTTTCGGTTGCTTCAAAGACTTCTTTGTATTTGACTTTGACGTGCTTAGTGTAAATTCCATTGTGGACCTATTTCATCAATGTTGGCCTTTTTTCCCCCCCCCTGGTCAGTTTGAGAGTTACTTTACACATTTCCACATCTCCTCCTCTTCACTACCCAGGTTTCCATGATCTCATCCACCGCTGCCTAAATTGTGCTCTTGGCTGCCAAAACCAACAGGTACTATTCAGTCCTTATCGTGAGCTTCTGAAAGTAACAGAGTGCCTCAAGAAACCATTCTCCATCCTCTATTGCCTCTGTGTTCTGGCTTTTTATCCTCCTTTTGGACTTCATCCTGCACTCTCTACTGGCTCGCAGCTGCCCTGGAACGCTGCTGTTCCTCAGGGGACATGGTCTGCTCTGTCCTGGCACTGACCATTCCTTGCTGGTTTAACTCTCTCCTCACAGATTCCCTTTGAACCCTAGGTCTGTATATTCGCCTCATGGGATGCTTCAATTGAATTTCCAGAAACAATGCTTCTACTACATGAAATGATAATGAACACACAGTTTTAATATAACTCCTACAGCATGTGAAGAGTTAACGTCTCTTGTTGGAGGTGTGTGTGTGTGTGTGTTGAAAATTTTACATCTGGAAACTAAGAACTAAGACTCTTTTTTTTTTTGAACTAAGACTCTTAGAAGACAAGAAAAGCCACTGGTAGGGAGTTTTTGTTCGCTTTTTTAATGAGAAAAATATGAAGGTGACTGTACAGAAAGATCTTGGGGCATTTAGAAGAGATGGGTATAAGAATGGCCAGAGAGGACGGGGAAGAGAGAGGTGAAGAGCTCGCATGGATGGTTGGATGTGGAAAGAGAGAGTGAATCAGAGTGAGTGATTGAGTCATATGCTTAAAACACTGGGCGAAAACTTATTTCCTTTCCTTTTCCTTTCTTCTCACGCTTCCATTTGTCTTTCTGTCCTTTTTTACCACCACCACCACCCCCATTATTACCAGGCTTTAAATGTTGCTGGTTGATTCATTTAGCACATTTATTGCATGTTATTGTAATGAAGTTTATATCTCTGTATTCTCAACTTTGTGAGTGGTTTGAGAAATCCACTTTCTCCTCCGATCGTTTGGTACCCTCCTGATGTGCATTTAAACACTGTGTACAATACGAGTGAGTGTGTAGGGGTATTTCAAACCAAAGTTTGGGGGAAATGACCTTAATCCTACACCACTTGAAAATAGAACATGGGTTCTTTTTATGTAGTGATGATAGTTCGGAGCTCTAAGAGGCACAAACAAAACTGGGCTACAGCAAATAACTTTTATTTTCTGGTCAAAACCAACATTAAATACGAATCAAATATTACTCCCCCAGTATTTTTATTTCTCTCTTAATTAGATTGAAAACTCGGAGGGATTCCCTGTCAATCTGGTAGACAGAAGCACCAGTGACACAGCCCAGTTTGTCTCTCTTTAGGGAATCTGCTCTCTTCATATCTAAGAGGATTGGCAATGATGGCATCTCGTGGCACCTTTCCCTGTCTAACTTCTTCTCTCTTCTCTCACAGCTATTTCAACACAGACAGCACCCAATGCAATACATGAAAGCCACATCTTTAACTCTGCAGATTCTGACATTTTATCTTGCCTTGGGCCATCTTTTCAGGAAAACTTTCACTTTCATGTTTTTCAAATAACTCACAGAATTATATATTCTAGGTGGGAAGATTAAAAGAGAGTGAGAGAGGGAATTGATGATGTAAAATGGGCTCAAAAGACATACTGCAGAGTGCAAAGGTTCACATGCTTCGGTAGACGTGTGAGGCTCTCCTTCCTTTAGATTTGCAACAAATGACACACACTGGGGTCCGCTCTGTACCATGTAAAACTCCCACACAAGCAGGGGCCTGTGAAGCCCTGCTTGTGTAAGGTGTGCTCTCTTAAAGTTTCCTGTATGACTTGGCGTTTTGATCATTGGCTCTGCCATCTCCATTTCCTTTTTCTTGGCTTACAGAAAGGAATCAGAGTATCAAGGACGAGCGCCGAGTCACAATGCAGTAGAACATACTTGTTGATGCAATGAAAAGACCAAGAGAGAATGATATTGTACTGGGGCTGGATACTTCTTTGGTTCCTCTCTCGAGAGAGAAGTAAAGGATTTCATATAACAGGTAGGCATTTTCACTTCTCATGTTAAACTCCGAGTTTTGTGGTCGACACTTAAAGTGACAAATAATCTGATCTATGAGCCCCATGATGGATTTCTGTCCTACTGTCAAAATGGGAGTACGGCGAGAAATTGTTGTGGTGAGTGTCTTTCAGCGGACATCACAGACGGATGAACACTTGAGCTACCATATCCAGTGCTCAGTGGCAGCTGATGAATGGGAATAAACAGTGACTCAGCTCTCTTTGTAGGACGTCTCTGTTGCTAATGGCAAAGCTGTAAGAGTGAATTTAAAATGAGCTATTTTCTTCCATAGAAAAGGTAACCGTGAAGAAGACAGACCCGTGGAGAAAATTAATCTCTTATTAAATCAAATCCTATCAGAAAGGCGAGTTAGAATTTCATCTTATAATTTGTTTTTATGTTGCTTTGTTTGCTTGTGGCTTTCAGATTGCAACACTGAAAAACTTATTTGGACTTATCATGCAAAAACCGAAGAGGAATTTATCTTATTCTGTGATTTACCAGAGCTACAAGAAGCCCATTTGTTCCACAAAAGAAAACTATCACCCACACAAGCCCCTGAGCATGTGCCCTGTAATGATAGTTGGGACCAACGTGATGTCCAATGGTACTTACAACCTAAAAATGGATCCCCACTGCAGGAAATTATTCAAGACCATTATCATATCAAGAGAGCCCTGCATTTTCCCACCATAAGTGTGAAGGATGCTGGATCATATATTTGTAGACCCAGAATTAGGTACATCCCAAGTTTATTCCTGTCTGAAACATCCCCAGAGCTATTACTGTCAGGATGTAACGCATACTCATGGTACCTCGTTACCTCTCCTAGGAGACCACAGGATGATGCTTGTTGTATCAAGATGGTCCTAGAAGTCAGACCCAAGCAAAACGCCTCCTGCTTGGGCCCGGGCCACGAGCAAGGCCTGCTCCTTGGCAGCACAGCTTCAATTTCCTGTCCCAGTCTGAACTGTCGGAGCAGCACACAGAGTCCAGAAGTTACCTGGTACCAAGTAAGAATGATTTCTGAAACTGATATGAGTATGTATTTTTATGTTAATATTGCTATAATTAATTTATATCACTATGGCTATAAGAATGTGACGTTTAGAATTCCCCAAAGAATATGCCATTTTGAGTTCCCCAAAAGACTTGCCCCATGCCTGTGGGGGCAAGATCATGAAATGGTCTTTTCTCCTTTTTCTACCTGATAGTCCAATGATTAGAACTTGCCTTTGATCAGTACATGGATGCCATAACAGTTCATAAAATTTAAGCATAGTACATATGAAATGTATTGACATATGCCCATGCAGAAAGCTCGATTATTTAATTTTAATTTTTTAAGTGGATGCTCTAGAGGAAAGCTACACAAAAGCAGTGAGTGTTATATACTCCGTGAAATAAGTTGAAGGAGGCGGACAATTTTCCCAAGGGAGCACACGTGGGAAGATAATCACAGCAAACCATTGCAGCTAATATTGAAGACTGGCTGACAGTCCAGTGTCTTGGCCAGCCAACAGAGGAGGTGCAGTGCTAAAGAGAGAAAGAACGGACAAGGAAAAAGCAAGTTTTACATTATGTCTGAAACTTCCATAACAAAGCTCTTCACATGGCCATCAGGTTTAATGGTCTTTCCAAGTGCTAAGTCATGCTGAAGTGTCCCCGCTGAGTTAGCCCACTGCTAGCCAATTCTTGGGTGGTAGGGCCCTAGCAATAGAGTTTAAGCTCCTCCTATAATTGCAATAGGGGGTTTTTTTTTTTGAGTCGAGCCCTTAAAATTTCAGGTAGATTTTAAAATATATTATGTGTGAATATAAACCTATCAGTTTGAATTGCTACTAATTAAAGTTTTTAAAAAAAGTGGGCTCCATCGGTAGGCAATTGGACACCCCCTCACTGAAGGGTTGAGGGGAGGAGACGAGCCAATCAGGGTGCAGGGTAGCAACGATGAAACATATAACTTTCCTCTAGTTCTTAAATGCTCCCCCCCCCCTACCTCCACTATCATGATCTCAGTTCTACCTCACAAATCTGGCTAGACCAGAGGATGTACATTGGTACAGATAGCAACTGGAAACACAGGGAATCCAGGACAGATGACTCCTTCAGGACCAGGTGTGAAAGGGGCGAGGCCTGGAGGGTATAGGGAATGTGGGGTGGAAGGGGGGAACCAATTACAAGCTGAGAAGAGGGCAGGGAGAGACGTCAGACAGTGTAATTTATGACAAAACTATAATAAGTTGTGAATTATGAAGGGTTCATGAAGAGGGGGGCTGGGGAGGGAGGGGGAAAATGAGCAACTGATATTAAGGGCTGAGGTGGAAGGCAAATGTTTTGAGAATGATGAGGGCAACGAATGTACATATGTGCTTGACAGTGGATGTATGCATGGATTGTGATGAGAATTGTATGAGCCCTCAATAAATAATTTTTAAAAAACACAAAAAAACAACAACAAAAAGTGGGCTCTGGTTATCTAGTAGTTGTATAGACCTTAATATGTGCAGTTGGCCCCTCTGAGGGTGTAATATAGCCCTAGTACTTCAAACATGGACCCAATGGGTAGAGCTTTTGGTTTCTTGTTTGTTTGACTTTTTATTGTGAAGCAAGTGTTGTGTTTGTTGTGATGGGTTTCTTGGAAGGATGGAGTGAGGGGGGCACATTGCTATGCCCTCGTTTGTGCAAAGGTTTAGTGTGTGCTCACTGCAAAATGGAAGAGTAGAGATCCAAGTACACCCAGGCCTGGTCATCTACTTATAAAAAATCAACTATAAAAAATCCTTTGAACACAGTTCTACTCCGACTGACATCCATGGGGTTATGAGCCCGAATCACCTGATGACCAATGGTGAATTGGGGTGTACTTACTGTTGGATGTGAAGACATGTTTTCATCTCTTAAGACCCTGTGATTCTCTTAAGACTCTGTGACCATAGGTATCCCGAGTTATGTTGTCCACTATTGAAATATGTATACTGGGAGGACTAGTGCTATTTGTAATTTAAAGCAGCAATGAAAACACCCTGGCCTGAATGATTTTCAAATCTAAGCAGCACATTAACACCGTAACCTGTAAAATGAAGTCAGTCAGAACAGTGAATGGTTTTGTTCATGATTTTCAGTTCTCTCTAAAGGAAACCATTTCCATTGGTCCCAAAGTCTCTGGTCGAGGCCTCTCATCGAGTCTGAGTAGGCTCTGGATAAGCCAGTGACGCAAAGTAGGCCCAAGTGATGCTGCTATGACCTCACATCCACACTACCGATGTCCAGAATAACTTTTCTGTTGGTGGCTTAAATCACTCTCCTTTGGATGCTACAATGCGGATACGGTTGTTGAGCCATTTCTGTGCCTTGTGTTCCAAGGAATTTTTGCACACTTGCCGCCCACTTCTCTTTTTCATTGGCTTGTGGCCTAGTTGTCCTAGTAACTGGCATCAGTGAGCCTAGTGAAATGGAGAACTGGTAAGAATGGTAAGACTGGTGCGCCCCAAATAAAGAATCCAAATAAGAAAAGGCCATTTATATGTGATGTTTGAAAACTGTTCCAAAGCTAATACATTTGCTCAGGCTATGTGATGGGTTGATAACCCCAAGGTCAACAGAGAGAAAGACGAGGCTTTCTATGCCCACAGCATTACTGTAGTCTCTGAAATCCACAGGGGCAGTTCTACTCTGTCCTACAAGGATTCATTGAATCAGCCTCGGCTCAATGGCAGAAAATGTGGGTTGGTTTTACTGTTCTGATGATGACGATGATGATGATGATGATTGCAGCATCTCATAATCCTGCACAGCTTTCTGCTGAATACAGTATCCCACATATTGTCCAACCAACACGGAGAAAAAAGGAACCATTTCTTATGCTGAACAAAATATTAATGTGACAGCTTTCATATTAGTATTGGGGAAAGACAGTGTCAATTCATTACGAGTTGGCTTGGTCGAGTGAGGTGCTGTTGAGTCTGGAAAGACTTGCAGTGACCCGTGTACAACAGAAGGAAACGCTGCCTAGTACGGCACCATCCTCACAACTGTTCTGGTGTCCAATGCTCTGACACAGAATAGTTAGTGTGCAGTCTTTCAATGAACACCAAGTAATTAAGTGCTAAGCCAAAACAACTTTTAACATCCTTACACACATTGTATTGTGCTCAACAGGCAAGATTCCTTTAAAAAAAAATCATTTTATTGGGGGCTTATACAACTCTCATCACAATCCATACATCCATTCATTGTGCCAAGCACATTTGTACATTTGTTGCCATCATCGTTCTCAAAACATTTGCTTTCTACTTGAGCCCTTGGCATCAGCTCCTCATTTTCCCCCTCCCTCCATGCTCCCCCTCCCTCATGAACCCTTGATAATTTATAAATTATTATTTTGTCATTTTACACTGTCCAATGTCTCCCTTCACCCACTTTTCTGTTGTCCACCCCCCATGGAGGAGGTTATATGGAGATCCTTGTAATCAGTTCCCCCTTTCCATCCCACCCTCCCTCCACCCTCCCAGTATCGCCACGCTCACCACTGGTCCTGAAGGGATCATCTGTCCTGGATTCCCTGTGGTTCCAGTTCCTATCTGTACCAGTGTACATCCTCTGGTCTAGTCAGATTTGTAAGGTAGAATTGGGATCATGATAGTGGGGGTGGGGGATGGAGGAAGCATTTAGGAACTAGAGGAAAGTTGTATGTTTCATCGTTGCTACCATACACAGCACCCTGACTGGCTCATCTCCTCCCCATGACCCTTATGTAAGGCGATGCACAGTTCAGGCAAGATTCTTTCTTCCATTGTTGTTCATTACTCAAGGGTACCCATTTCCCTCCATCCTGGCCTCTTAGCGTTATCTCATCAGGTGTGTCAACAAGATTCTGTTAGAATGCTTTGGCTACAAGCAATTTGACTCCAGCTGACTTAAACAATAAAAGAAATGTGTTATCTAGACAATTTAAGCAGTTAGGTCAATTTCAGCAAGTCAGATTGTGTCTCCACTGATGTTCACTGTTATTTCTCCAAATGTTGACCTCAGGTGTTAACAACAGTGGATGCATCCTGATGCCATCCAGAGGGAAAAACCGTGGCCATCTCTGCCCAGATCTCAGTGTTGGGTAGCAAGTAACCCTGCCCCTTGTCCTGTTGTTAGAAGTCTTTGAATCAGTTCTGACGCACAGCAACCTTGTGTTCCACAGAATGAAACACTCTCTGGACCTGTGCCATCCTTGCAAGTTGTATGTTATGTTCCTAAAGTTGTTATGTTCAAGCCCATTGTTTGTTGCAGGCCATGTGTCAATCTATCTTGCTTATGGGCTTCATCTATTTTCTTGTTCCTACATTTTACCTCCTTTCTCTAAACCTTTCCCAGGACTGGTCTCTCCTGCAAACATGTCCAGAGTACTCGACATGAAATCTTGCCATCTTCACTTCTAAGCAGAATTCTGGCTATCCTTTGTCCAAGACAGACCTTCACATTCTCTTGACAGTCCAAGGTAATTTCAATATTCTTCAACAGCATCATAATTCAAAGATATCAATTCTTCACTCTTCCTTATTCAATATCCAACCTTCACACAGCTTTAAAATCGGCCTAAAGGGAGATCAAATGCTGAGACCTTACATTTTGACTTAACTACATGTGTCCTAATCAATCTTACAATGCTTTCTGTCTGATAACAGGGCTATTCACATCCCTCGATTATGATTAAAGGGGATTCACTGGAGGCTTAATCCATGTGTGGCCTCTGCAAACCAGATGTTCACAATTTAAGCTGTAATGCCATTCTCTTCTTTAGATTTGGATTATATTATTTACAATCCTTGGATCACACAGGCTGCTGTGCTTCTTCAATGTACTTAGTTGACACCTCACTGAAATGCTTACTTGTTTGCAGACAAGCCTTTAAGACGCCGTATGCTATTCTTTCTCATAGCCCAGCCCCATTGCTTCATCACCATATTTTACCACATGATACCATTAAAACTACCAAGGCTTGAGTGAGATGCATCTTCCTCCTCAACGTAGCAACCTTGCTTTTCAAC